TTCTTAATAATCATATAATCCTTCATTCAATAGTTATTCAGTTTACACATAACCCTTCAATCCTATGATAAAATTAAGCATGCTTTGTTCTCAAGGCTAATGTCTACACTTGCTTTAAGAATATATCCTTGGTCGAAGAATAACTTTATCTAGCTATTGCGGGGAAGGGGTGTCCCATAAAGGCATTTACAGTATGAAAAGCACATTTGGAATTTGGAAAGAGCATTAGGGACATACAACAGAAGGGCTGCCGTATTGCAAGGTGCCCATTTGCCAGAAGGCAAACAAGTGAGGTTCCTTCCCACCACCCCCTCTGACGTCTTAGGATGTTCACTGATGCCTTAGCATACCTCTCCTTTTTCTTTGACCAGAGGGACAAACACTGGACTTCAGCCACCCACTACTTTATTTTTCTCAGAATGCCTGTGAGGTCCATAGGAGCCCAAGAGACGTTGCTGGAAATAAGATGATGTGTTGTTTTGCCATATGCTTTTTTTAAAAAAAATAAAGGACCCTAAAAAGAAAGATAGCTGATATAAACATTGCCTGGCAAGGGAGGTGTCTGGGGATAAAGCTCTGAGTACAGAGTACAGAAAAAGGAATCTCCTTGCTTTTCTATTGATTAAATGTTTCAAAGTATCAATGTGGATTGGAAAAAGCTCAGATTAGTCTACAGTGCTTATAAGAGAGACTTCTTCGCAACAACTCTGTTCCTGCTCAAAAGGAGCTCTAGGACTCTAATCATATGAGGACTGCTGAATTTCACAGATTAGCTTATTTATTTCTAACTCACCTGCAGTCTAACTGCAAATCTATATCTATCTATCTATATTCCAATGGCGAAACTGCAGGAACAGCTCACAGATTTCTCATTTCTCATACTGTGTTACCCAATAAGGTATTTCTGTGTGTTGCTTAGGGTTTTCCATCCCCACACCCATCGCAAACAACTCCACCTTCATCTCTGGAATGTTCCAAACATTATTTGCTTCATTCAATATTTTGAATGAAAACACCATCCTTTATTATGTACTTGATGTTTGAGGGCCTTAAATATGCAAAGTTTTATGCATGATTGATATGCCACAAAAATGTATGGTTTGAAACTTTATTTGGAATAATATTGCAAGATTTTTTAAAAATCATGTTTCTAACAGCTAAAAGACATTTTATAGCTTTCCAACCCACAATTGGATTTTAATAGCACTCATTTCAATGGGTAAAGTCTTTCTGGACATCAAGATCCAATAGTAAGGTGGCACATATTACTTCTGCAACTTTCCATAATGCTTTTCAAGTACATAATTAAAATGTATTGCAGGAAATATGTATGAAGCTGGCAATAGCAGCAAATGGCAGCATCTAGGCCACCTTGGCTAATGTAGAAACATAAGCAGGGCTGACCCTAATTAGTATTGGAATGAAATCCAGGCTAGACTGCAGAGTTGAAAAGATGGAAGATGGCAATGATGCACCACTTTCATATTGTTGCCAAGAAAACTGCATGAGTGTCTCTGTGTATGTAACTAGAAGTGAAGCTCGACTTGAAGGCAACTTTATTTTTTCTTGAAGCTCTAACAGAATGGTATATACAGTCCACCATCCCTTAAGCCAGTGGTACATTTGTGTACTGCTGAAGGTCCACAGATGTGCCACAACAGTGAGCCACAAGTAAATGACAGAAAGTGCTGTGCAGCTGTGGAGCCAGAACTCCACCTCCATGACATCGCCAGTCAGGCTGCCTCCATTTCCCTTCCCTAGTCCCAGTAACTTGTGGCATCATGGGACTTCTGCTTTCGCAGCCCAGAAGTCCTGCCTATGAGATGTGTGACCGTGCATGTTAGCACCTTGTCAGTGTGCTGTGAGATGAAAAAGATTGAAAATCACTGCCTTAATTTCTCAGAGCAAAGAGATACAGATGTTACATAATGTCATGGCCTGATTAACAAGGTTTTCCATAACTTCCACCACCACTCCTTAGAGGAAGGGGAATTTCTCTGTTTTCATACAATGCATACAGTATCCAGTGTGGTATTTTCAGCTACATTGACTACGAGGAGGCACTGCATTACTGTCCTTTACTAGGACTCTTCAGACATAGGTAGCCAGATACTGTTATATGGGACTAATGTCCTTAAAACCTGTCCAATACAACTTCCAAATCCCCTTAATATTATCTTCCCTTAACCTGAGTTTTAATATGGGGCTTTTGATTTTTCAAATCCTTTTTATCCTGGACTTTTATCAAAAAGAATCCAGAGCAGATCCCAGACATAGTGGGAAAGAAAGGAGTAAAACAAACTCAAATAACCATTCTTACTTGAAATATAAATGGTCAGTTGAGTTTCTTTGTTTTATCCTTTCCTCTCATCCCTTTCTTACAATATGCTTTTTATAATAGTTCTTTGGGGCACATCATTTCTGGGATACAAGTGGCAAAAAGAGTCGGCAGCATAATGGAGCTACTAAATGGGCCATGCTTCATTTCTCTCCCTCTGATGTAGGAT